CTTCTACGGGGGGGGGCACTGCTGGAGGCGCCACCTGGTCCCTGTTTCCCCTCTCTCCTCCTCACAGGCAAGGCCCTAAAAGCCATCGGCAAAAGTAAAACAGATCCACAAACCGAGCACAGCCTCCAAGATCCCTGCCTGAGAGGGGCTCGTGCAGGGCTTCCTCCCGCCCACCTGCTCACTCTGACCAAGCTCGAGACCCAGTCACAATTAAAGTCGACCACCGTCCAGCTAAGAATGCCGCTGCCAAACACCTTTTCTCTTTGAAAGCATAAAGAAAACTGTTAACTTCACGACACAAGATTCAAAACTGTTTTTACCTTTGTAGGTGCATAATCTAGAATTTAGTATTTTTACTGCCATTTCAGTTTGACTTAAAGAAAAAACGTAGAACTTAGTATTTAGTACCAAGTATCTCCCCCAGGTATTTAGCAATAAAAGCACACGAAAATGTCATGACTTCAAAACGATCATCATACTTTTTAAACTGATTTTTAAAACTTTTGTTTAACACAATGAGTGAGATGTGCAACGTTTGGTGGATGGACACGCTTGAAGCTCTGACTCGAGGGGGGAGGAGGCATGGGCAATATATGTAACCTTAACACTTGTACCCCATAATACGCTAAAATGAAAAAAAATACTCTGATGAAAAAAAAAAAACGTTTATTTTATTAGGTATGTGTTTTGTTTTCTTTAGAAGAAAGCTCCAGAGTTCACATTTTGGGAAGAAAGTCACAAGCAAGTGGAAAGAGTTGAAGCAAAATGGAAGGAAACAAAAAATTTTGCATTCTCAAATATTTTATCCATACTGAACTGATTTCAGACTTTCCCCAACGCGACGGCTGTTTGCACTCGTGAACACCCCTGCCTGGCGCGCACTGGGGTCGCCAGCACGGGGGGGGGGGGGGGGGGCCTGTGGCCTCCTCCTCTCTCCTACACAAATCGGATTATAAAACCGGGCCAATAATCTTAAAGCAGGCAAAGCCACATCTTGCCTTAAGAAAACCCAATATACGAAAATCTAAATTAACTGCAGTTAAGTGAATTATTCTCCAGAAGACATTAGATTCTAACGTACTTTGCAAAAGAATTCATGCTGAGTTCATGCAAATGAAAATACGCCCTACAGTAAAAATTTCAAAAACATGTTCCACATCATGTTAACATGAATTATGTGAGAAAGGATTTTTTAGCTGCACATGTTAAAGAAGCACTGCCTCTGTGTAAGCAACGACTCACTAAAGAACACTCTGCAGGGCCGGGTGCAGTGGCTCACGCCTGTCATCCCAGCACTCTGAGAGGCGAGGCAGGAGGATTCCTCAAGGTCAGGAGTTCAAAACCAGCCTGAGCTAGAGTGAGACCCTGTCTCTACTATAAATAGAAAGAAATTAATTGGCCAACTAATACATATAGAAAAAATTAGCTGGGCATGGTGGTGCATGCCTGTAATCCCAGCTACTCCAGAGGCTGAGGCAGGAGGATTGCTCGAGCCCAGGAGTTTGAGGTTGCTGTGAGCTAGGCTGACGCCACGGCACTCACTCTAGCCTGGGCAGCAAAGCGAGACTCTGTCTCAATAACAACAAAAAAGAACACTCCGCATACAAATTCTCAGAGCTGCAGCAATAGGAACTGCAAGTCAGTCTTGCTTTCAATGCCCCGGAAAAGAACTGAGGCAAAAGGCACCGAGAAACCACCTTGGACACCAGGAGAGCAACTCACTGGACCAGCAGTCAGTCCTGCAGCTGAGCACGAGCCCCCACAACTCACTGGACCAGCAGTGGGTCCTGCAGCTGAGCACGAGCCCCCACAACTCACTGGACCAGCAGTAGGTCCTGCAGCTGAGCACGAGCTCCCACAACTCACTGGACCAGCAGTGGGTCCTGCAGCTGAGCACCAGCCCCCACAACTCACTGGACCAGCAGTCGGTCCTGCAGCTGAGCACCAGCCCCCACAACTCACTGGATCAGCATTCGGTCCTGCAGCTGAGCACGAGCCCCCACAACTCACTGGACCAGCAGTCGGTCCTGCAGCTGAGCACGAGCCCCCACAACTCACTGGACCAGCAGTCGGTCCTGCAGCTGAGCACCAGCCCCCACAACTCACTGGACCAGCAGTCGGTCCTGCAACTGAGCACCAGCCCCCACAACTCACCGGACCAGCAGTCGGTCCTGCAGCTGAGCACGAGCTCCCGGGGACACTCACTGGATCGCATTCGGTCCTGCAGCTGAGCACGACCCCCACAACTCACTGGACAGCAGTGGGTCCTGCAGCTAGAGCGAGCCCCCACAACTCACTGGACCAGCATGGGTCCTGCAGCTGAGCACGAGCCCCCACAACTCACTGGACAAGCAGTGGTCCTGCAGCTGAGCACAGCCCCCACAACTCACTGGACAGCCAGTCGGTCCTGCAGCTGAGCACCAGCCCCCACAACTCACTGGCCCAGCAGTCAGTCCTGCAGCTGAGCACGAGCCCCCACAACTCACTGGACCAGCAGTGGGTCCTGCAGCTGAGCACGAGCCCCACAACTCACTGGACCAGCAGTGGGTCCTGCAGCTGAGCACGAGCCCCACAACTCACTGGACCAGCAGTGGTCCTGCAGCTGAGCACGAGCCCCACTCACTGGACCAGCAGTCGGTCCTGCAGCTGAGCACGAGCTCCCACAACTCACTGGACCAGCAGTGGGTCCTGCAGCTGAGCACCAGCCCCACAACTCACTGGACCAGCAGTCAGTCCTGCAGCTGAGCACGAGCCCCCACAACTCACTGGATCAGCATTCGGTCTGCAGCTGAGCACGAGCCCCCACAACTCACTGGACCAGCAGTCGGTTCCTGCAGCTGAGCACGAGCCCCCACAACTCACTGGACCAGCAGTGGTCCTGCAGCTGCAGCACGAGCCCCCACAACTCACTGGACCAGCAGTCGGTCCTGCAGCTGAGCACGAGCCCCCACACTCACTGGACCAGCAGCTGGTCCTGCAGCTGAGCACGAGCCCCCCACTACTCACTGGACCAGCAGTCGGTCCTGCAGCTGAGCACGAGCTCCCGGGGACACTCCCACCTCCCTGTCTGGGGGGCAGGCGCTGGCCCCGCAGACAGGACAGCGCATCCCCTGGCGGTAGGGGCGGCCACAGAACAGGACGCAGCTTCAGGCTTGCTGGCATCTGCAGGGAAGTCGTGGGCGCTGCAGGACAGTGTCCAGCGCAAAGGACCTGCCAGAGCAGCACGGCAGCTAGGGGAGGGACCTGGGTCTTTCTTCCTGAGTCACGCACAGAGTGTCACAGACAAGATTCAGACAGAACACACACGGCTGGCACTGGCCACTCCTCTGCCCTTAATGGGAACTAAACCCTCGGCTGGGCTAATGAAGGTGCTGCTCGGTGCAGATGTGCATTTGCAAAAATGACGCAATTCTATAGGTTTTATCTGCCACACAGGCTTGAATCTGCCAGAGACAAAAGGCAACAGTTACTGACTAGGAGATTCCTTGGCTGAAACATTTCTGTAAGATGTCTCATTTCCTGCTTTTCTAAACAGGAGGTATCTCTAGAGCTTACTGCCAGCACACTAACAGGAAGTATTTTGTATTCTGTAAAGGCGGGGACAGCCCCATCTGCTGGCCGAGCCCCAAGCCCCAGGCTGGCGGGGACACCAGGCAGCAGGCAGGGCTGGCCCAGAGCTGAGCCCGGCAGCAGGCCCAGCCTGCAGCCTCCCAGCAAGTCACCACATCAGAAAGGCTGAGAGCAGTTCAAACTCCCTCCTCTGACACTCACAGCGAGGAAACCACACCAAAGAAAGAACTTTTCAAAGCATATTCTTGGGTTTACACATCACTAAAGGAGGCCAGTTCATGCTAATCTGAGTAAGAGAACAGGATGCAGGGTGGTGGTGGTGCTTGTGCATACCGTCTGTCTGCATTACACACTCCAGCGCGTGGACGCAGCACTGGCCTGGCCTCACAGGACGGGGCAGAGAGGCTCCGTGGGCCAAGTCCACACCTGACTCCATTAAAAAAAACCACAAAAACTCAGACACCGGGCTTCAGCGATCCCCAGCTGGGAACCACCTGCGCCAGGGAGACCTGGTGGCCTCACCTGACCACGGGGGCGGCCCAGCACCCCCAGCAGGTGCCCATCATCCCAGCCACTCGGGAGGCTGAGGCAGGAGCATCGCTGGAGCCCAGGAGTTCGAGGCTGCAGAGAGCTGTGACCACACCACTCACTCCCACATGGGTGACAGAGCAAGATCCTGTCTCTTTAAAAAATAAATTCACTGAGCTTCCCACAGGCCGGTGCTTTTCTGGACACGAGGTGTCACGCGGGACCGCCCCTGGAGCACGTTCCGTAGGCAGGACTGGAGAGGGGACTGCGCATGGGCCAGACAGGGCAACCACGGGGTGGGGAAAGGAGGTTTGAAGAGAAGAATCAATGCATATCCGAGGTCGGCAGCAGGACAACGTGCTCGGCATTCACGGAGAACGCCAGGCGGGAGACGCGGTGTGTGGAAAGAACTGCAGAGCTCTGGTAGGACCTCACGCTCGAGGTGCCTGCCGGAAATCCCAGCAGAGAGGGGCACACGGGATTGAGGGGCTGCGTGTGCACGCACACGAACATGCGTGTGTGCGCGTGCACCTTCTCACAGAACACCCCACAGACACACGTGACAACAAAGACCAGACTGGGGAGGCGCCGGAGGGGCCCCGAGGGCGCTGTGAGCAGCTCAGGCGTACGACTTCCCGACGGCTCCCAGGGTGTCCCTGCTCGTCCCAAACCCACTGTCCCCGCCCCCTTCCATCCCCACCCATGCGAGCGCCTTTTCTTAGTCTCCGAGGTTCACTGAAGGGGCCAGAAGGGAGCTAAATGCTTAGAAAAAGAACAGCCATTTCGAAAGATGGTAGAGTTGGGAATAGTGAAAGGTAGGTTAGAGTTCAATTTTCATGTCAACCCACAGAACTTTTTCACGAACTCGAAAGGACAGATGTCCAAACGCGACTGAGACTCACTCTGTGTGTCCCTGGAACACGTTCACGGAGTGGATGGAGGGGTCCCTGAAGTCCCACAGGCGGAAGGTCGTGTCTCGAGAGGAGGTCACCACGAGCCGCTGGGTGGGGTGCGTGCAGCAATGCGTCAGCTCCTGGTCGTGCCCTGCGAGCAAAGCCACGGAGCAAGGTCAGCGCTGCGGGGTCACGCTGAGAGCTGCTCCTTGGGACGCAGGAATCAGAAACAGGCTCCCAGGCTCTGCGCTGCCATCCAGGGGAAGGGGAACCTAACAGAATCACGTATCACGCAGGGTCACGAGGGACAGACTTCCCCGAGAAGCTGGAGCCCTCTCAGCTGTCCACTCCCAAACAGCAGGGAACCAGGTGTGTGCTTAGCCCGCTTACCAGTCCTGGCAGTCAGCAGTGGGAGGTCAGGCAAATTAACAGGCTGCGCAGGTGAACGACTTAAATCTTAATTCTCCGCTTCCCCAAGAACATCTACAACCCAACACCCCGGCCCTCGGTGAGACACAATCTCGGACACTCAATGAGGAAATGGCTCGCTGACAAAACCGCAGAAACAACTGCGACAGCAGAACCCTGCGGTGACCCCAGCCCGCGCCCTGCAGAACTAACCGCCTGTCATCAGGACAGAGGCTGTGAAGGTGCCGGGACAGTCTCTGGTGACCAGGCCACGTTATAGGGCAAACGGGACTCTGCAGATGGAATTAGGGTCCCCACATCCGCTGACTTTGAGTTAATCTAAAGAAAGCCTGTCCTGGGTGGCCCCACCTAGCCAGGCCCTGACAAGGCCGTCCTCCCAACACGCTGGAGAAGCTGGTGGCAGAGTGCGCTCCGGCTGGCTGGAAGACAGCAACCTGCCAGGTGGCAAAAGGTACCCTCGGGAGGGACTTCCAGGGACCCGGGGCAGCCCTGAGAGGCTCAGAGGAGCCCCCAGCTGACAATAGGAGAATAGGAGTCCCCGTTGCAGCCACGGGAAACGGACTTTTGCGGCCGACAGACGGCCCCAGCAAGGTCCCGCCAGGACCGGCCGCACCTGCAGGGCCTGGCAAAGGAGCAGCTGCCACTGACCCAGGACCCAGATCCAGGAACCAAGAGACAGTCAATTCTTCTTGGTTTCTTCTTTCTGTTTTTGTTTTTGTTTTTTTTTTGAGATAGAGTCTCACTTTGTTGCCCTGGCTAGAGTGCCATGGCGTCAGCCTAGCTCACAGCAACCTCAAACTCCTGGGCTCAAGTGATCCTTCTGCCTCAGCCTCCCGAGTAGCTGGGACTACAGGCATGCGCCACCATGCCCGGCTAATTATTTTCTATTTTTAGTTGTTTTGGCTAATTTCCTTCTATTTTTAGTAGAGATGGGGTCTCGCTCTTGCTCAGGCTAGTCTCGAACTCCTGAGCTCAAGCAATCCTCCCGCCTCGGCCTCCCAGAGTGCTAAGATTATAGCGTGAGCCACCGCGCCCGGTGAATTCTTCTTGTTTTAAGACACCAAGCTTGTGGCAATTTGTTACAGAGCAACAGAAAACGAATGCAGCAACCACATTTCAAACATCAAGATGCTACATGCCACAGTTCAATCTCCTGAGGATAAAATGCACTTAGCTACCAAAAGTTCTACTAGAAAGAGGCTCTGGAAACTACCACGGAACAGCCGGGAGGACTGAAAACCATCCTGGCCGAGACGTAACCGCACGCTCGGACACCGGTGTGCACATGAGCACAGAGGTACCTGTCAGTGAGTGCACCAGCTCCGACGTCTCCACGTCATACAGGTTGGCCGTCCGGTCCCAGGAGGCGGTCACGGCCTGCTTCCCGCCCACCAGCCAGTCGGCGGCGATGACCACGCCCTGGTGGCTCTTGAGGCACGTCAGCGGGACGCGGATGGTGGGGCAGTCGCTGGACGCGTCTCCGTCGAGATCGGGCTCGTCCTTGTCAGAGCACTCCACCTCGTCTTCTCCGGAGACCTGCTGTGCACGGCAGGGCCAGAGAGAAGGAACCTCCTGGGGCCTGGGCGTTTCCCACACAGCCGCAGATGCAAGTGTCCTCACTCGCCCGTCTGGGACCTGCGCGTCACCACGGCCAAGGCCAGCAGGACGCGGACGTGACGGGCCTGGGGAGTGCTACCAACCCCACAGCCACCAAGTGGCCGAGACCCCTGGACCCAAGAGAGCTGCAGCTCACTTCCAACACCCCGCAGGATGGCAAACATGACTGCCAACGTCCTCGGTTTTGGACACTTACTGGTAGAAATGCAATATAAAATTAAACAAATACAATTGGGAGTCAATGATTTATTACAATTTAAAAAAAGCATTTCAATGCTCAAGAGCTTATTTAAAATATACTTATAGAGTTCTATTGTTATAATGAGAGTCTATGCAGATACAGTGCAAATGAAGTCTTTTGTCAAAGGCCAAGGATGAAATAAAAACAACTGGCATAGACTCCAGCTCTGCAGGAAAATGTGTGTATTCAGTCTGCACACAGTTACCAGATGCTGACAGGTGCTGGCTACACAGCAGAGGAGGGGACCGACGGTGTCTGACACGTGCACGGCAGGACTAGGGGACCGACGGCGTCCGACACATGCAGGGGCAGGACTAGGGGACCGACGGCGTCCGACATGTGTACGGGCAGGACTAGGGGACCGACAGCGTCGGACACGTCCACGGCAGGACTAGGGGACCGACGGCGTCCCAAACGTGCATGGGCAGGACTAGGGGACCGACGGCGTCCGACACGTGCAGGGGCAGGACGAAGCTCACCGCAGCCGACAGGGAACCTGGAGTGAGCAGCCTGGCGGAGGCCCTGCCCTCACCGCAGTTACGCTCCAGCAAGGGAGAGACCACACACACGTATACACACACACATACACGCACATGCTAATTATGGGATACGTGCTATCAGACTCCGTCACGGCAGGGCCAGAAAACCACAGGGGCCAGCAGGGGCAGCAGAGGAGCAGGTGAGAACAGACGACCTGCACACACACACTCAGTCCTGGCAGGTACCATGCGTTCACTCTGAGATTCCCACACTCAGTCCTGGCAGACAGACCCCGAGAGTCTGGCCACGCTGCGTGCTCAGGAAGGGAAGGTGCTTACACTCGTATCGGCTGCGGGCTGGGGCGTCGGCAGCTGCACCGCGTATCTCCAGATGTGCGCGGTCTGGTCCCCGGAAGCTGAGGAGGGAGATCGGGGAGAGTTGTCACCCACAGGCACCACCCACAGATGGCTTCTCTGCCGCATGCGGCCGAAGCAACCTCAGTCTGGCTTTCCCAACCCGGAGACCAGCTAGCAGATGGATGCGCGTTATTTAAGGGATGCGCGTTATTTAAGCAGCAAGTGCAGACACCCACAGAGCTACTGAGAATCGAGTCACGTGCAAAATTAAGATAACCATCACTTGTAGGGGAGAACATTGTCGAGCCTCACAGAAAATTTACAAATAGGAGATCTCATTCTCCATCTATCGATCTAGGTAAGCTGAACCCTTGGATACCGTGACTTGTAACAGATCCCAGGATGGTGCAGAAAAATGACAGTCACTATCACTAGTCAGCACTGACGGGACCCCACAACTCGCCAGCCCCGTGAGTGCTGCCTATCTGTGCCACCCTGTCCTCTCCCCACCAGCCTGGTCTGGGAGCAAACGGGAGGACCCCGGGACACCCGGGCCCAGAGCAGGCCTTGCACACTGGGGACAGGTCTCACCATCCCAGGAGCAGCCCAGCTCCCACCTTCTCTGCGCAAAGAGAGCCCCCGAGAACCACACAGGCCATGGTGAAATGATTTATATCAAGAAGGGCGTGAATGGATTTTACCCTCACAATTATCTCAAGTTAATCTAAATGGCAATCCACTACTGACTTAAAAAGGTACTACTCAAGTGTTTCTTAATTCATTTCTCATTTAATTCATAAACTGTCTTATTAAAGACTAACTTTAGTAAAAGCCATGGATGACTCTGATGCGGCCAGTAAGAAAGGAGTATTTATAGTTGTTCTAAGATTATCAATAATTTTGTTCAATAAAGAAAAAAAAATCAACATACCGGTGAGAGCCAACTGCTCTGAGGGATGAAACTTTATAGAGTTCACTGCAAAATAAAAATAGGACAAAAACAGGTTTAGGGTGAGAAAATACAGGTCATCAATATTTATTATAAGCCACAGCATGTGTCTCAAAGTTAGTGTTAAAAATTGAAATGGCAGATCAATATTAATACCCCACTCAATCAAGTGACGAGCAAATGTGTCAGAACAGGGCACACAGCATAGGCCGGGCGCAGTGGCTCACGCCTGTCATCCTAGCACTCTGGGAAGCTGAGGTGGGTGGATCGCTCAAGGTCAGGAGTTCAAAACCAGCCTGAGCAACAGCAAGACCCTGTCTCTACTAAAAATACAAGGAAATTAGCCAAAACAACTAAAAATAGAAAAAAATTAGTTGAACATGGTGGCTCATGCCTGCAGTCCCAGCTTCTCAGGAGACTGAGGCAGAACGATTGCTTGAGCCCAGGAGTTGGAGGTTGCTGTGAGCTAGGCTGACACCACGGCACTGTAGCCTGGGTGACAGAGTGGGACTGTTGCTTCAGTGGAGAAGTCACTGCAGGTGTCGTGGAAACAGCACAAGAACTAGATAGAAGTGGAGCCTGAAGGTGTGACTGAATGGCTATAATCACAGGATAAAACTGGAACAGATGGGGAGTTACTTCTGATGGATGAGCAAAGAAAGTAGTTTCTTGAGACGGAGCCTACTGCCAGTGAAGATGCTGCGAACATGGTTGAAATGACAAAAATATTTAGAATAGCATATAAACTTAGCTGATAAGGCAACAGCGCAACAGCAGGGTTTAAAAGGACCAACTTCAATCTTGAAGGGAGTTCTACTGTGGGTAAAATGCTGTGCCACATCTGCTTGCTACAGAGAAAGCTTTCCTGACAGGAAGAGTCAGTCAACGGGGCAAACTTCATTGCTGCCTTATTTTAAGGAATGGCCACAAGACACCCCACCCTCAGCAACCACCACCCCGATGGGTCGGCACCAGCAACATCGAGGCAAGACTCCCACCAGCAGAAAGATCACGACCTGCTGAAGGCTCAGATGATGATTAGCGTTGTCTAGCAACAAAGTATTTTTAAATCCAGGTATGTACAATCGACCCTTGAACAGCACAGATCTGAACTTCCACCTGTTTTTCAGACACCGAAGGTCTCCCTCCATCTTTTCTAGGGAAGCTGCAGAAAGACAGGCCTCCGGGAGGAGACACGGCATGAGGTCCGGAGACTCCCGCAGCGCCGGAGCGGGAGACGCGGGGAAGGTAAGAGCTGCACGGGGAACAGAGGGCCATCGGGTGCGGCCGCACGGAGAGAGACGCGCACCCTGGCAGAGCTCGGTGAGGAGTCGGGGGGCACCCAGGACAGCAGGCGAGGGGAAAACAAGACAACCGTCGACTCCAAAGGAAACAGAGCGGGGACGAGAATGAAGTTCCCCACGAGGCAGGCGAGATGACACCACAGCCGGCCCAATGACCGAGCTCCGATGACTTCGATAAAAGTCGTGACGTAAATCTTTGGGATGACGAGTAGAGAAGGAGGAAAGTCTTCATTTCCCTTAAGAAGAGATAATTCTTTGTCTATCACTGAAAAGTTAAGAAGTAATCCAAGAAGCTCTTATGTAGAAACTGGAAGAAAGAAGACCAATACTTGGAACAGCTGAGGCCCCCTGGGAAGGGAAAGCCGAGTGAGGAGGCGGGAGGCAGGAGACCGCCCGTGGCTCTCCATGTAGCCACGTGTATTTAATTTTTAAAATGTTCTCATAAAGTAAACTGGAGTGAGGAATGGAAACAGCGATGCGGCACACATCCTCTCAGCCATATTCTGCGCACCCCTCGTACACGCTCGGGCACCGTCCTGGGAGGTGCGGAGGGGCAGGGGCACCCGGCAGCTGTGGGTGAAGGTGCAGACAGGTGAGGAGGAAGGAGGCAGAGGACGTCGCTGTGGGAAAGGTAAGAGCCTATGCACGTGCCGAGGCGGAGAAGCCCAGGGCTGGAAGGAGAAGATGGTGGCGCAAGGAATCACAGAAGGAGAGAAACCCTGAGGAAGGGAAGAGGAGGGTCCGCAGCTCACCAGAGCCCTGGCCGTGGACGGGACCACGGGACAGGCAGGCGGGCCCCCAGAGGGAAGTGTGGCCACTGCATGTGCACTCTGTGCACTCCGTGCACACAGCTGCAGGTGACGCTGCCTGAGTCTGCCGACAGGGGAGGGTGCGTGAGGGCCCCGGGGGAAGGAACTGGGCGGGCATCTGGGCAGGACGAGGGCACCCGGGGCATGACCGGGAAGGCAGAAGAGAGCTCCTGGAGGCGGCATGAAATACAGGCACGGAAGCACATTCAGAGTACCCTTTACTGAGCCTGAATGCAGCCAAATTCACTGCATCAAAGGCAAGTCTCTAAAACAGACACACATTTTGGGATAAACAGTGCGCACATTCTCAGCACATCCAGGGCATTAAAAAGAAAAAGAATGCACACATCTCAGTGACAGAATTTCCTACATGTGGTTTCTACACAACACGGAATAAAATGCAGATCATCTGTACACTGGGGAGTTAAGCTCTTCCGTCTAGTAAAGTCAGACAAGCTACAGACACAGGTTGCCCTGGTCGCTGACAATGCCACACTGTCCCCTGCAAGAGTGAATTAAACCGTCTATCAAGAGACGCAGCTGGCTTTGCCACATAAGACTTCGGAAACCAAGCGAAGCTGGGGGCAGCCCCTGCAGCGGGGCCCGCCCGGGCAGTGCTCACCTGAACCCACGTGGCCCGTGTACTTGACCAGGCTCCGCCCCGTCTCGATGCTCCACAGCAGGGCCGTGTGATCTGCAAGAGCCAGAGGAAGACGCTGCAGTTTGGCCGCCGTCAATTTCACGGACGTTTTAATAAAGGAACAAGGTACATAAATGCTCTAGTGGGACGTCACACGAGCATCTCTGACAGCCCTGGCTCCATCACTCTGTTAAATTCAAGTCATCAGAGAAGAGTCTCTGAGGTCGGAGAAGTCGCGCTCCGCCCAAGACCCAAACTGCTGCGTTGGTGGCCTCGTGCTGGACAGTTCCACCGTCCACGTGAGACCTTCCAGCACTCAACTCCAAACAGCATCCAAGCCCAGTTGCCAGCTATCTGAGATAGTAAGTCCCCTCTGGGCCTCTCCTTTCACGGGCACCGTTTTCTTTTAAAGTAGACTCACTAGAGAAATCTGAGAGCTATCTGCCAACTACCCGAGTGGAATTTCTGAAATATCAGAAGGGAACCTTTCATCCTTTCTTTTTAAATTGTGATTTCTAAAGCAATGTGAGGCGCTCACATAGGAACAGGCTAACAGCGTCAGACAAGAAGAAACTTGTTTCCTCACCTACGTTATCACAGTTGGCTTTATGGTGTTCAATGCTGCCTTTGACAGCAGAACCCAGCAAGCAGCTAACCTGCCCACGGCCAGGAAAGTCACTGTCAGTGAGCGAGCACCGTTTTCATTTTGGCAACTTTTATCTGAACGGGCATCATGCCACTGTAGACACCGTCTACAAAATATCTTTTTTTTAGATTAGAGAAAGGAGTCTCTCTCACACCCCACCCCTGGGACTGACTCCTGCACGTCCCAGGGGACCCCGCCAGTCTCCACCACGGCTACTCTCCCCGGAGAACGTGCGTTCCTCAGCTGCGACCCCAGCGCCTCCCTCACCTGTGCTGTGCATGCGCTACGGAGCGTCAGGCGCACCTGCTGGTCAGGGGCGCACAAGGACAAGGCCGATAAAAACCACACCTGGTGTTTGAGAGTTATTCTGCTTATGTTGCTGTCACCGTTCACCCTTAACACAGTTAAGTTAGATCCCCCCACGACACGTATGTGCTTCCTGAGGTATTCGGTCCAAGCTACAGCCCCCACCACAGGACACACCGGCAGGACGCGGGAAGGCAGGACTCGGGTCCGGGCACTGCGTGGCCTGTGCTCCCACACCCAGGCCAAGCACGCCGGCCGCGATGACCGCCCCATCCTGCCTTCCCTCCCCACGCTCCCTGGATCAGGCACACCTGGCACCGGCCCCGTCAGAGGTCAGCAGAGCCGCGCATCAGTGGGCTGGGTCGCCCGTGCTCACCCGCCGAGGCAGTGCCCAGCACCACCGGCTGCGTCCTGGCGACGCTGACGTCCCAGATGCCGTCCCGGTGGCCGATGTACTCCTTCACCAGCTGGCAGACAGCCCGCGAGGTGGTGGTCTTGAAGCTGGAGACGATCTGGAATCGAAACGGGAAGGAGCGTTTTCACAGCAGTTACTGGAGTGAATTCTTCAAAGTTGAAAAACGCAAAAACAAAACAGACGCCTTGCCAAGCACACAAACCATGGAAGAGAATATTCAGGGCACCGAAGGAGCTGGCGCGCCTGCGTGGCAACGGCAGGCCCACGAGGCCACGTCCGCCCTTCCCAGGGCAATGGCAGCGTCAGGGGCCGGCGTCTTACCCCAGCAGAAGGGCGTGGCGAGGGATCCGGAGTCACTCTTCCCCAAGCCAACATCAGCAGACAGAGCTTCCAAATTTTTTTTTAAGAAACACCGAATAGCTAGCTAGCCAGCCAGCTGGACATGAAAAAAGCAGGAAGAACACCCCACACCCGTCATGCTAATGACTCTGGTCACTGGGCCTCTTTCATTTTTCTCTGTTTTGGACAATTTACACCAACCACATGTTACCGGGGGAAGAAGGGCCCACAGCAGGGAAGGAGTCAAAAGACGACACTCTAACAGAGAGGCAGGTTTGCTCAGACTGTTTATTGAGCCCTTGCTCGGGGCAGGCACTGGGCAGGTGGAGGGTACAGGGGGGTCCCACGCCTTTGGCGGCCCCGGCCCAGTGGGAGACAGACAGAGAAACAGCGCAGACGACAGGGGACACACAGAGTGGCAACGCCTCATGTGACAATAGACAGCATGGTTCTCTTTTTCTCTTACAAGGAAAATATAAAGCGAGTGGAAGAAACATTAAACAAGATGATTTCTCCAGTTTGGGTTTTAAATTGTTCTCAGATAAAAGAACAGCTTTTAAGTACATCAGAATAATGTACATTATTCAGAATAATGAAACCATAAAGTTAAGTGAAAAACAAAAATTGGTGGCAATCATACAGCTTGTATTAAACACTGATTAGGAAAAGCCCTGGAAAATGTATCTAAATTCATTCTTACATAAACACATTAAAGCACAACCCACAGCCTACTGCTCTATCAATTCAAGTCTGCACATTCAAATTATTCCCCCAATGCAGTGAGGAAAAAATGCTTGATGGAGGCTGACATATTTACCAGCAAAATAAACAGGTTCCATTGGACTTGGTTTAAATTTAACAGGAATTATAAAAGCACCGTTCAGTCTCAAACCCATCATTACCTTGTTCTTTCTGAAAGCTAATATCCTGTTCAGCCCAGCAAAATTATACCTCCACAACAGGGGAAAGTGCTTTTGCTTACAGAAAGTGCCATTCAGATGCTAAATAACAACATTTTAGGAGGGAGGGAAGTTAAAGAACACACAAAACCTTCCCCCATAATACGCTGCAGTACATTCCATTTTCTGAGTCTCTCCCCATTTCCACCACAAATAACAGCCCTGAAAGAAATAAACTCCTGGAGTCTGGGTGAGAAGAGGGGGTTCCCTCCCTGAGACTATCCCATTCCTGGGTGAGAACAGGGGGTTCCCTCCCTGAGACTATCCCATTCCTGGGTGAGAAGAGGGGGTTCCCTCCCTGAGACTATCCCATTCCTGGATGAGAAGAGGGGGTTCCCTCCCTGAGACTATCCCATTCCTGGGTGAGAACAGGGGGTTCCCTCCCCGAGACTCCAGCTGCAGTCTGGCAGAACCGTGGCGCAGAAGTGGTGAGTGCCGTGGCATCGTCCCACGTGCTGCTCCCAAACTGCCCGAGACACTCTGCCGTCTAGTAACTCTCTGCTCTTAAAGATGGCGACGTAGGCGACGTAGTCACAGTTACAAAGAGGCCCCGAAACAGACGGAGTAACGTAGAAGGAGCGTTCACAACAGAAGAGCAGCAGAATGAAGCAACAAGCCATGCTGCCACCTGCCGCCCTAAATCACCTTAACTGAGACTACGATCTAAAGCACTTTTTTAAGAGATCAGAAATGCCTTTTTTCACAATGGAAGAGGCTTGTCTTTATAAAAGCATTTGCAAACACCTCACAGGTCTCTTTAGAGTGGCTTGCAGGTCAGACTGCCTCACCTCCCAAAAGCACGAGAAATACATCATCAGCCACCCCTGAAAGGGAGAAGCCTCTTCTGGTCACCCGCACACTTCCATGTTCCCACTACCTCACCCACACGCCACTGGCCTCTCAGGGCTCTGAGTCAGAGGAGGGAAAGTAATGAATGTTTCTTGTTGCATTCATCCTTAGCTTTGATACCAGGAATCCATGCTGTAGCACAAATCAGAATGTAAAATGTTCAGATAATGTCTTATATTTTCATTACTTTTTAAGATAGGTACACACAGTATGCAAAATGCTATAAAGATCATGAGTAGTATGTTTCTTATAAATTCAGATGAATTTCTAGGACCTAAAATGACCGGGGCTTTAACTATCTCTAATGCATTTTTATTTTTTATTTTTTATTTTTTTTTTCGTCCCCCCCTCTAATGCATTTTTAAAGTCTTACTGTACATACCCTCGCCTTTGTCCAAATCTTATTTTTTACTGCTCATGGTAAAGGATAACTCTACGTAATCCTTTCTTCGTCTACTTCAGAAATAAGCAGACAGTTTTGGAATACTAAGCACACATACATGCAACTGTAAGCGCCAGGAAAAGCAACACAATTCAAGATAATGCAACAAGAAATTAAACAGGGCAGAACATAACTTCACACTTCATTATGAATAAAAAGATTAAAGCTAATTTATTAAGAACTTACAAGTGTCAGCTAGATATTACATGATGAAAGATCAACTAATTTGGCAATTTACATTCTCGATGTTATCGAAGAAGAGTAAACAGTTAGAAAATGCCAGCAGGTTCAGAATTTCTTTTTTGCAACAAAGAATCACCAAAGAATTTCAAATAATGAGGAACAGCAGAAGGACGGAAACTGCTCCGTGACTTTCAGCTACTCTAGCTATAGATGCCGTGCTGAGTAAGCTCAAGGGAACAAACTGGAAGATAAACAGCTAACAATAATTGCTGACGCAATCACAGCAGACTCACCGGAAATTTCAACTTTTCCCCCCAGATTTCGCAAAAAGGAATGTGTATTCACTAAGGTTAGGTAGTTAATCTTTTGTATCCTTAAAATACTCCAAAGTAGAGGTGCATACAGAATTAACACAAAACAGTACTTCAGAGAAGTACCCGTCACAGATAGATGGGTTCCCAAACAATTAAATCCCAGCTACTCTAAGAAGGTCAGCACAAGACACGTTAAGAAAATGCAAAACACTGTGAATGTTCCCGTTTGTCTCAGAGACAGACCTTCACTTCCTGACCACATTTAAGAAAACGGAAGGAAAAAGATAATGAACTGAGACGTAACTTTAGCTCAGAACATAGTTTTCATAACTTTTTATGTACTTACTAGCTTTCTCCAAATTCAGAGCCTTTATTTCAAGCTAATTAACAATAAAAAATATATATTCCCTCTAGAGACAATATATTCACTAATACAGAATACACTAATCCCCAAAGACAAGAGGCTAAGTTAGTGGCTAAGTGCCTGTGTCCTGTGGCTACTTAACATATGATATTCCTTTCAAAAATTAAATTTTCCTAAAAACCACTTATCTTTCCTATTACACCTTTCCAACTGGAAAATGTGCAGCTTGAAGTACACGTCTGCACACCTCAGACACCACATGACTGGCTGGAGAGCCAGCGCCCGGCATACCTTGCTGGTGGAGGCCTTGTAGGTGGTCTTCAGCTTCTGAGAAAGCTGGCTGGTGCTGTGGCTGGCTGCAGAGACAGAAGGACAGTCAGCACGGCACGGCGCTCCCCACAGAGCCCCAGGCAGGCGACACGAAGACGGGGAGGGCTGGACAAGAACCCAGACTGCTGAGAGCTTGATTCCTCTAGAACCACACCCGCCTAGGGGTCTCCAGGTTTGCCGATAGCAAAAAGCAAACCAGGCGGTGCCCACCACTGCATCCCAGCATCCTGCACATGTGCCCGCAGGACAAGGCCGGCACAGGGTCGCCTTACCTTTGGTTTTGAGCTGGCCCTTACTCAGTTCTGCTCCATCGATAGCTTGTCCTTCGGCAGCTAGACGCTCATTGAGAGTATCAATTTCTCTACGCACTGGGAATAAAAAAATTTTTTTTCAAAAATGTAAAGGACATTTTTAGGTTTAAATGTACTCACCACTGCCAGAACTTGCACACATAAAAATGCTGTTATGTTAGTGTCATCTAAACAAAGACATGAATGATAGTCTAATAAGCAAGATCACAATTCACAGACTTCCAAAAAAACTCCAGGCATCACTGAAGGTATCATTCCAAAACGAAGAGCTGACACGCTCCTGCCACTCTGTGGAAGACGCTACCAGGAAGGAGGGTCTCAAGCAGGGCTCCCGCATGCCAAGTTTCCTTTGTGCTTAACTCTGTGCATTAAAAACATTATTCTGATACTGTCTGAAATTCAGTGAAAACATGGACAGTCTCACTGAGAACACTGCAATTGGGGAAAGTTACATGATAACAACCTGTAACGACCACTGTAAGACACCACGTAATGGCCAAGTGAAGATTATACACCACACGACAGAGATCTAGAATTCAAAATAGGCCGGGCGCGGTGGCTCACACCTGTAATCCTAGCACTCTGGGAGGCCAAGGCAGGCGGATCGCTCAAGGTCAGGAGTTCAAAACCAGCCTGAGCAAGAGTGAGACCTCATCTCAACTAAAAATAGAAAATAAATTAATTGGCCAACTAAAAATACATAGAAAAGATTAGCCGGGCATGGTGGTGCATGCCTGTAGTCCCAGCTACTTGGGAGGCTGAGGCAGAAGGTTTGCTTGGGCCCAGGAGTTTGAGGTTGCTGTGAGCTAGGCTTACCACGGCACTCTAGCCCGGGCAACAGAGTGAGACTCTGTCTCAAAAGAAAAAAAAATAATAATTCAAAATATATAGGAATTACAGAATCACAGGGAAAAAGAGAAGGCTCAGAAGGAAGGATGTCAGTGACACAGCAGTGACACACTCAGAACGACACAGAGCCAGCCCGCTGCACAGTGGCCCACAGAGCGGGCCTGCAGCACTCACGCTGTGACCACGCTGTGGAGACCTGGAGGGGCTTGGCTGGGGTTACCGAGGCATCCAGGGGCCCAGCCCAATCATACACAGCCTCAGAACATAGGGGAGGCAGGGGCATGGCTCAGAGAGCCACCACAGGACTCTCCAAGGGGCTGTCGGGGACCTCTGTCCAACAATGCCAGGCACTGGATTCTGTCACAGCCCTGCAACCACCCTGACCTGAGTCTAGAGAGCCACACTGGACCGACAGACCGCAAGGCAATACACGTGTGCTACGTTAACCCACTAGGTCTGTTACAGCCAAACAGAAAACTAATACAGCAGTGAACATCTACCCAAGAATCTTACTCTCAAAGATCGCTATGGATAAGCAAAAAGTTATAAAAGTATATTAAGACAGGAGATACTCACATTCTAAGTTTTCAATATAAAGGTTTTCAAACTCTCTTTCTATTTGACCAAACAGTTCCAGAAGTGTACTGCGGACTGAAGATGGCAGTTTAGAATCCTGCAGGGGAAGATTTTGTTCAGAATGAATGAATGAGTGAGTGAATGAGTGAATAAATAAGAAACTCTAGTACCAAGCACCAATATCATATGTCCAAAGTTAACAATCTTTTATCTTAAACTCTTATTTTATACCATTCTTCTCATACATATAAGGCTTAAAGAATTTCAAAGCTCCAAATTTCTAGAGGAAACCATAAATAAAATTATATAAATGGCCACCTAGGGTAATACAGGGTTTAAGAACAAGCATGTCTTCAAAACAACATAACTTTCCCTTTACAAAATGGACACAGACTATCTTATTGAAACTCTTCCAAACGTGCAGTGAAGGAGGGAAGTTCCTGTAAATCAAATGACATCATAAACAGCCTTTAAGCTCCATGATATGCCATTGTAAGTGTATTTTAGTATGGTATACGCTATTAGATGTGCCTTTATAGAGTTCCCGTTATATCTGCTTGCTTCAAGCAAAACAAATGGGTTATTTCCTACAATGCTACTCAGCATCTAAAAGACTGTCGTGAAGAGAGAAAAAAGAAAAACCTCACCAATAGAGCACAACGCCTGTTAAGTGAGAACACTGATTTAAGCTCTGCTGAACCACCTGCTTCACACCTGTGCCCCCTCCCACCTCCAGCCCCACCTACAGGTCTGCAGGGGGCAAGGAGCAGAGGCAGGACCCACACCCCATCCCATCCCCGTGTGGTCAGAAGCAAGACCCGAGGGACTGGGCGTGCTCACAGATGCGCTTTCCCTGGACACTGCTAATAAACAGGGCTGCCCCGTGCAGTCCACGGCCTACGCCCATCTCCCCAAGGGCTTGGCCTACATCACCCTTTGCAGGTGTCAACAAATATTTCTGAGATATTCCAATACTTAATTGCTGTCAGTGTCATTTTCTAAATGACTTTTCAAATTTATGTACAGCACAAAGTTTCTTTTTTTGAGACAGAGTCTCACTCTGTTGCCCGGGCTAGAGTCCAGTGGTGTCAGCCTAGCTCACAGCAACCTCAGACTCCTGGGCTCAAGCGATCCTCCTGCCTCAGCCTCCCGAGTAGCTGGGACTACAGGTGAGTGCCACCATGCCCGGCTCCCGCTCCAGGCTGATTTTTTCTCTTTTCAGTAGAGACGGGTCCCGTTCTTGCTCAGGCTGGTCTAGAACTCCTGGCCTCAGGCGATTCTCCTGCCTTGGCCTCCCAGAGTGCTAGGATTACAGGCATAAATCACTGCACCTGGCCCAGCATAAACTTTTTGGAGTTTGAAGAATGGCAAATTCTAAAAAAAGGTATACAACATTTATTAAATCCTTCTCAGATTAACTTCTTAGGAAAATAGAAATTTTAGCGAAAATGATAGCATTTTAGGAATATGAATTTTATAATTATCACAGATTTGTCACATAAATTTTACAAATTACTTAAAAATGTGCATATATGAAAATGACTGGTTTAAAAATTGAGTCTGGCAGAATTGGTATTATATCTTCTCTCAACATCCTTCTAAAATATCAATGAAAAACATGAAAAAAAAGGAAAGGAAAACTTAAAATAACAATGAAAATCCAAATTAAACTATCAAAGAGGAAACCCCAATAACTGTAAGACATAAATTTACACTGAACTGAGAAACACACTTAATATTTAACTCTCAGGCCTGGCCCGGTGGCTTACGCCTGTAATCCCAGCACTCTGGGAGTGCCGAGGTGGGAGAATCGCTTGAGCACAGGAGTTCAAGACCAGCCTGAGCAAGAGTGAGACTCTATCTCTGCCAAAAATACAAAAATTAGCTAGGCGCAGTGGCGCATGCCTGTAGTCCCAGCTACTCAGGAAGCTGAGGCAGGAGGATCTCTTGAGCCCAGGAGTTTGAGGTTGCCGTGAGCTATGATGCTGCCACTGCTCTCTAGCCCGGGCAACGGAGCGAGACTCTGTCCCCCCCCCCAAAAAAAAAAATCTATCCTGCCCGTGGCATTTCATATTCCATTCCCAAGTGTCACCTCCTCAGAGGAGCCTTGCCAACTCCTACACAAGACCAAATCTCCTCTTACATGTATCAATTCCTCCTCGTCAATACCCATAATGTTTTAAGATCCTTGTTATTCAGCAACTGAAATGCTGTATTTACCTGAATATTAAATGCACCGTACTATAAAACTGTTATGAAAAACAAAGCCGAGGTGTCAGCACTGACCTCGCTTTGAAAATAATCAGGAAACTAAACCTACAGAGGAACAAGAGTTTCGCATGAGAAGGCAAGTCGAGCCCAGTAAAAGCGGCCTCACAACACCGCTTTACGCCTGTTCGTCAGCTCTCCTGTTTTGTGCCGTTCAGTTTCATAGAGCCTAATATGAGAGGTGTTGAAATTTGGGTATCACTTGAGAAAACTCACGCTAGAAAAGCTACGACTCAGTAAAGCTTTTAATCGAATCTGTGTTTCATCGCACCAGCACCGACATATACCTGAAAGGTGCAGACAGGTGCAGGAGGCAGCCGGCGCGGCACGTGTTCACAGACTCAGCCATTCCCCGCAACAGCCCCTTCCCCAGCTAGCCTCTGCCTTTCAAACCCCCTTGCGTTTGCAACTCTGAGACGTATGCAGTTAACCCGTGTCTCTTTCAGACCCCAACAACCAAGAGAGCATCACCGAACTCTGGTCTAGCAAGCGAGTGCTCCTGACAGCGACGCAGACCCGTGGCAGTCGGGAATTCTGTATTCCCGGGTGGCTCCGCACACACCTACCATGCCGAGCGCTCACACCAGACAGTGCCGCTGGAAGGGAGCACAGCAGCCACCCGGCCACCCACTGCACAGGCCGGTGGTCCCACTCCAAGTAACTCTATTCGTTCAACAAACGGGTGTCACCTAGGGAACGAGAGAGGCCACGAAAGAGGGCCACAGAGTGCTGAGGAGGACTCAGCGGCTCAGTCTGGAGAAGGCCGCGTTGCCTTTATAAGGGTTACCAGGAGACGCAGTGACCTCCCTGTCCCATGTCACAATGGAGGGCTGGCACTCAGCAAGGCCAAGAGAAGAACGTGTCACCTCACGCGGAGGTGACTCTAGAACACACCAGCAAAGGAGGTCTTAGAATCCCACCGCTAGAAACGCAAGCAAGCTGAAAAACTTTACCACCCATCCGTGACTGCTTTCCCACACTGCGCGACAGCCACTGGCCACATCTGACTACTGATGTGTAGTCAGTATTTCAATGTAAAGTATTTAAATTTTTAAAGATTAAAACTTCAGGACCGGAAACACCGGTTCAAGTGTTTCAAGTGCCACGTTTCAAGTGCTAACAGCCACGTCTGGAGAGCCCAGACGGAGAACATCTCCATCATCACCAAAGTCCGGCCACACAGCTGCGGCTTCACTCTCCGAGTGCTGTGGCTAAATCGTGCCCCAAAAGTCCTGTGTTGGCGTCCTGACCCCCGGGACCTCAGAATGTGACTGTGGGTGGAGAGATGGTCTCTAAACAGGTGACTGAGGTAAAGTGAGGCCACGTGGGTGGGCCCTGGTCCAGGAGGACTGGTGCCTCATCAGGAGATGGGGACGTGGACACGCACAGGGGGATGCCTGTGTGGGGACACAGAGAACACGGCACCCACAGGACAAGGACAGAGCCTCCGAAGGAGCCACCCTACCAAACCCTGACGTAGGAATGCAGCCTCCAGGACTGTGAGAACACAGATCTCTGTCACTAGGCCACTCAGTTTGTGGTTCTTTGTTATGGCAGCCCTAGCAGAGTAATCACCTAAGAGTATCAAAGCTTCCTTTCTGATTTTATTTCCCCCACTAAATTAAAATGGAATCACTTTTACAGAGAGCAAAACCAGGTATTTACTTATTCACTCACTGAACATATAATAATTTAATTCTAACAGAATACGTGCTTCGTGGCAGCCACGGTGTTGGGCTCTGAGTGCACGCTGCTGCCCTGCTGGAGGTTGCAGCCCTCAAGTCCCGACCACAAAGGGACCCACAAGTTCTCACAAAATCCAAGACTTCCCTGAGTCCATTTCCCAGATTGAAGCCTTATTTTCCTGCAGCCTTATGGCCAATGAATTAGTTCTAACTGTGAAGAAACGGTATATACATTTATAAGCATACATTAGATATATCTATAATTTGTTCTAATGTAACACATACTTTTGTCTAGGCTTCACAATAATATTCTTTTAAAATTCTGACATATTTTCATCATCTATAAAGACACTAGGCCGGGCATGGTGGCTCACGCCTGTAATCCTAGCACCCTGGGAGGCCGAGGCGGGCAGATTGCTCAAGGTCAGGAGTTTGAAACCAACCTGAGAAAGAGCGAGACCCTGTCTTTACTATAAATAGAAAGAAACTAATTGGCCAACTAATATATATAGAAAAAATTAGCTGGGCATGGTGGTGCATTGCTTGAGCCCAAGAGTTTGAGGTTGCTGTGAGCTAGACTGATGCCACGGCACTCACTCTAAAGCCTGGGCAACAAAGCGAGACTCTGTCTCAAAAAAAAAAAAAGAAACTATAAAAATTCTAAGCGAAACTTATCTTCATCAACAAAATATCAGTTATTTAATCAAAGGATGGCATGCTCACTGCAGCAGAGACAGGATACAAGTAAGCCATAGAAGATCTGACTTCAAAAACTCTTCAAAGGACAGAGAGAGATCATTAAAATTGTGTGATGTGCTATTCCTGGGACCATTAGAGACAGAAAACTCAAAGCTGTGCTGTCAATTAACCTATACAAAGAATAAAACTAATCCAAATTGTCACACCTACTTCCTTTTGTAATTAAGCATTACAAACATGTTAACCCATCTGTGTATGATGTTGTATTTGACAGTACCTTTCGTGGGTTTACTGTTGGGAATTTGGGGAGGATTATTTTCAGGAACCGAAACCATTTTCTACTTTGGAGACCTACACACAGGTGGCTACTTTCATCACACGATAAACACGATCCCCACCAAGGCCCTGACCGGCGTGACTTACTTGTCCTTCTAACATGTCTCTTGGCAGCCCCGTCCGCTCCTGCTCCGAGCTGTTCGTTCTTCGGATGGAAAGGCTGTGGGACTTGCGCTTTTGTTTTGCTTGGCGAGAGGTCGAACAACTTCCGCTTTCTGTGGGCATTACTTCTAGAAGGTAGTGCCCCAGTCACCTTCCTCAACAAGCTAAACGGCAAGGAAAACAGGCATTTTATTTCTGATACAGGAAACTGAAATATGGGGGGAAAACAGCAGACAAAATACTTATGTTTAATTACAAGCTTCCTTAAGAATATTTACCATATAATTAAGAACATGACAAATTAAGATGTTTTAAGGTGGAGACCCACAGCCTTTTTTAAAGAGGTAATTTGTTATCAAATCTCATTAACATGTTCTAAATATCCAATAGCAAAGAATGACTTAAAATAAGAAATTTTCCCTTAATCCAACTTTCCCGGGCACACTCTGCTCTCCAGAGGGAGCCCATTCCAACTGCATATTCCAGATTGCAGGTTCTAGAAAAATGCTGTCCAAGAGAAATACAATTATATTAACTATGTTAGGTGAACTAATAATAACTAAAATTATATTAACTAATTCACAGTTAATATAATTTTAGGTGATACGTTTGCACATTGCGTGTTCCTTCTTCTACTGTAGATGTGACTGCTTTGAGCAGCACCTAATCTTTTAGGAGGGCGTGGGTGAGACCCTGTCTCAAACAAAAAGCCAAGCCCAACCCAAAAATATCAGAAACCTGAAAAATAGTTTGCCTATTGTTTATGACTAAGACAGTTTTCAAAAGCTTTAGCCTATTCATAAAGCCTCTAGTCACTCTCAACCAAAACAGTCTCTCCTGTTAGTTACGAAGTCCCCACAAGATGATCCTTGTGATTCTATTTACATGAAATGCCCAGAATAGGCAGTTTATGTACAGAGAAAGTAGAGCAGTGGTTGCCTAGGGCTGGATCATCTTTTCCTTTTAACTTTTTATTTTGAAATAATTGCAGATTCACAGGAAGTGAGCTGCAAAGATGGTACAGAGAAGTTCTGTATTTCCCCAAGGATTACATCTTATGTGATTATAGCACAGTTTGCTAACTTGCCAATTAATTTGTTAATTTTGTTAAACCAACAAATTTGACATTGGCACAATATATGTGTATAGCTGTCACTCTGTTTGTTACATATATAAATTCCTGCAAATACCATGATGACCAGGATACAGAACATCTCTATCATCACAAAGACAGAATCCACACTGCCCATCACAGCAGCCAACACTTCATCCCATCCCAGCTCCTGAGAACCACTGACTTGTACACCTTCCCTCTAATTTTGTCATTTTGAGAATGTCATTAATACATAAATGAGATCACAGATCATGTGCTCTTTGGAGACTTTTTTCCCCCACTCTGCTTAATGCTTGAGACCCATCCAATTTGCTGCATGTATCAATAGTCATTTCCTTTTCATTGCCAGGTAGTGTATTTGCTTAACTGTTCACCTGTTGCAAAAAATCTGGGCTCTTTCCATTTTTTTACTATTGCAAATAAAGTTGCTATGAACAATAATATGCAGATTTTTGTGTGAATAATAAGTTTTCATTTCTTTTGGATGAAGAGCCCAGAAGTAAGATTGCTGGGTTGTGGGGTAAATGTACGTTTAATTTAAAAATCCTAATTGAGATACAATTCACACATCCTAAGTCACCCATTCAAAGCGTACAATTCGATGATTTTCAGTGCGTTCGGAGAGTTGTGAAATCGTTACCATAATCGACTTTACGACATTTTCATCAGCCAAAAGAGAAACCCCACACCCGTGAGCAGTCACTCCCCGTTTCCCCCACCCTGTCCCATGGCCAGCCCTCGGCAACCGCCCATCTGCTTTCTCTGGACAGAAACTGCCCGCTCTGGCCACTCCAGGCAAAGGGAATCACAACGTGTGGTCTGGTCCATTGTGACTGTCTACTTCCACTCGGCAGTTTCGAGGTTCATGTATGTTGTAGCACGTACCGGTAACTTATTCCCTTTTATTGCCAAGAACTCTATTGTACGGACAGACCACATTTTACTTACCCATCCATTAACTGATAAGACATTTGTTGTTTCCGTCTTTAGGTTATCACAAATAATACCACCAGGCACATTAGTGTGCAAGTTCTTATGTTCCTGTTTTCGTTTCTCTTGGGTGTATACCTAGAAATGGAACTGTTGGGTCATAAGGCAACTCTATGTTTAACCATGTTGTTGTTTTTTTAAAAAAAAACCATCAAACTATTTTCCAGACTGTATCCTTTTATAGTCCCAGCAGCAACATAGGAGATTCAGTTCTCTGCGTCCTAACTGGCATTTGGTGTGGTCACTATTTATAGTCTTAGCTGTTCTGATGGGTAACACCACTGCACACCTTCTCATGTGCACGTTTGCCACTCATAGATACTCTTCAGTGAGATGCCTCTTCACGCCCGTTTTCTAACTGACATTTTACGTTTTTTACAGCTGAGGTTTAAGAGTTGTGCGTATACTCTACAGCATGAATTATGTGTCACATGTGTTGGCTGCAAATCACTCCTCCCAATCTGTTGCTTGGCTTTTTATCCTAACAGTTTTTCACAAAGCAAAACTTTTTAAATTTTGAGATATTCTATAGATTACACTTTCCTCAAAAAAATTTTCGTCAACCCCTAGGGCTCCAAAACTTTCTATTTTCACCTTTAAAAAGAATGTTGTGGGGGGTTTTGTTTTTTTGGGACGGGGTCTTGTTCTGTTGCCTACCTCAAGAGCCCAGCACAGTGGCGTCAGCACAGCTCACTGCAGCCTCAAGCTCCTGGGCTCAAGTGATCCTCCTGCCTCAGTGTCTTGGGTAGCTGGGACTATAGATGCCACCACCATACTCGGCTAATTTTTTTTCTACATTTTGTAGAGACAGGATCTTGCCCTTGCTCAGGATGGCCTCAAACTCCTGGCCTCAAACTATCCTCCCGCTTCAGCCTTTCAGCGTGCTAGGATTATAGGTATGAGCCACCATGCCCAGTCTAAAATATTTATAATTTTATGTTTAACACCTAAATTTATGAGGTATTTGGTGTTGGCATCTTTATAAGGCGTGAAATTTAGGTCAAGGTTTTGGTTGTTTTTGCCAATGGCATCGAATTATTCTAGCACCATCTGCTGAAGACTATCCAGTGTACACTGAATTGTCTAAAACCAACTGGCTGTGCTTGTGTGGGGCCACTTCTTGGCTCTCTGTTCTGTCCCTTGATCTACGT